TTTTGTTGAAAAAAGGTGCTTAAATTCGAGTTTCCCTCATTGCAATGAGGGAAACCCGAATTTAAGCATCTTTTTTCACTAACAAAATACTGCTCTATCAAATGTAACAAGCTCTAGTCAATGTTACTGTATATACGGGTGTTCACCAAAAGACATGAACAATATTGACAAAGTTACGAAACTTCCATACTCACCGGATGAGCTTCAATATGGATTATCTACACTTCATGCATGAATAAGATTTTTTGAGTGTTTCATACATATTTCATATAAGATACCAATAAAAAAATGGCAAGCAAGAGGAGACAGAGAAATCTCTTGTTAAAGAGCAAAAAATAAACATACAAAAAGAATTTCAACACAAAATGGGACTTATTGTTGACTACCCAAAATGTGAAGGATCTGGAAACTCAAATGACAGCAATACTGCTCGAAAAGCTTTTTTAAATGAAGACTTGTTTGCTGATATTACAGGAATAAACATGGAATCAATTGTAAAGTTGCATATAATCCTAATTTGTATATCAAGTGGATTTCAAATAGATACTAGTAAGTAGTACCGCGCTCAACTCGTTTCTCCGCACAGCGGCCTTGTTCGTCAAGGTTCGTGTTTCGGAGTTATAGAGTTGAGAGAGGGTTATAGCCACAAAATAAGTAGCCTCCTCGTCTCTAGTGGCCTTCTCGGCCTTGAGGAGGTGAAGTAATAAAAATAAAAAAAAAAGTTTCGATTACTTTGTCTGGAGACCGCAAAACTCTACTCATCCTTGTACCATTGGTATTACATGCCTTAGAGTCTTCACAAGATCTTAATTCATGGAGCAGAAGTAATAGAAAATCTATTCTTACCAATAGGTCTATTTAGTGAAAAAGCTCAAGAAGCTAGAAATAAAGAACTTAGAAAATATAGGGAACATCATTCCCGTAAAAATTCAAGAACAAAGACAAACGAAGATGTAATGAAAAGACTTTTATGTACATCTGATTTAGTTATTTCATCTTATAGAAAAACTGTTTCATCTGTAAAAAAGAAATTTCCTCCGGGTGTTGTTGAACTTTTTATTTGCGAGAATTCTACGTTCTAGAATATAGATCTAGTTCGTAATTTTTAATGGTAATTAAACTAAAAAATAAACTTTTTTAGCAATATATATGAGCTTGATATTCATTTTATAACAGTTCTTATAAAAAAAATTAAAAATAATTTTGGCACAAAAAACGTGATTTTATCCCACTGTGCATTGGTGATTCAATTTGATTTGTAAATCAAGAGCTACTTCAATTCAAAATTTGATTCGAAAATTAAAAATGCTGATTCGGGTCCTTATATATATATATATATATATATATATATATATATATATATATATATATATATATATATATATATATATATATATATATATATATATATATATATATATATATATATATATATATATATATATATATATATATATATATATATATATATATATATACCCTTGTCACAAAATCATAACACTATAGTAGCAATTTTTGTATGAGTCATCTTAAAACTACTGAACTCCCTTAGAGCATGATGTAATTTATGGATGATCCCATAGAAGAACTAGACCTTCTATTAAATGATTGTCCTCAAAGATATGAGTTATATAGAAGAACTAAAAAACTAAAATTGTAGAACTAAAAGTACCTACAATATTAGTAGTTTATTCTCAAGGAAGTAATTTTGTAATTTATGGTGGATTTTGTATACGTCTGCTATAGATATTAATTATGCTTTTCATTTTAATGAACCCTTAATTATATTAATTCAACTACAAATTCTCAAATATCACTTAGGAGCTATGCGAAAGGTTTTTGAAAAAGATATAGTCTGATTACTCACTCTGTTAAGAAAAGTGTTTTAAAACATATGTACAAAGATCTAGATCAACGATCTATTAATGTTTCAGCTGCTGACACATTATCCCAAGGTGAAGTTGATAACAGAGTAGATATAATTTTTGAACTTGAAGATCCTGATCTGATAAACGATATTTGTGAATTTTTTGCTGGTAGTCATTAATAATTTTATGCTTTTTGGTCTAAATTAAAGGAATTTCTTGAAGAAAGACATTGGAACTGCTGTAGATGATAGGCCACATTGGAAATTTGTACATTTAGCAAAAGCAGTTTCAGTTAGAGATTTCCAAGATCAAGTTGCAGCTAAACTATCTGGTGATACTCCTATTCCATCTAAATCATACATCCAATTGCAGTTTATGCCAGCTAGAAAAGAAAAAAAAACTTCACAGAGGTATACAAAGATTTTAAATTTAAAAAGAATGGTACAGCAAAAAGAATGGCATACCTAATTCTTAATATGCAATTTGTATATTTTGCTACCACCATGATTATATTTGCTGCCATCATGTATCTGCACTAGTTTGTGGTGATGACAAGCATAGGATTCATGAAAAAAAATGTTGTTTCAGGTTAGTGATCATGACTTCACATGGTTCAGTATGATTCCATCTGT